TAATTGGGCTAACTAATATTTTTCTTCATACAAGAAAAATAACCTATAACTGTGGCCAGAACACATATATTTCATGTAGCAACAAACTGTAGTGATGACATTTATTTAAAAAAATCTTCACAAAAAAGTCCATTACTAGGTTTCATTTATCAAACTAACTGGCAATTGCTGAGATAAATAATTTCATTAACTGTTGGAAAAAAGACCACTTTATAAAAAACACGTTTATATTTTTTTATCTAAGCTATCTATAATAAGTTAAATTGCTCATTCTTAAATAAAGCAGTGTATGAAATCCTTTTAGAAATAACCCATGAAGCAAAATAAAAACAAAAAAAATCAGCTTTCTTGAAAAAACCATAGCGATTAAATAAAAATGATAACAGTCCCTTTTTTACCTGGAATGTAAATTGCCTTCAAAAATTCTACTACAAAAAATAATGACAACTCTTCCTAGCACACAGTGTACACACATGCCATTTAGGTGTCCGCACACTGAGAAAAACACACACCCTGCTTCTGAGAGCTGCAATGTTTGTTTCAACAGCACATCTTGTGTCGGACAAAAATGTCTGAAATCTGCATGTGATGATGGGTCAGAGGTCAATGCAGATCCTTTGGAATCTTGAGGTGAAATTGAAAGCAGTGTTTCTCCGTTTCCTGGTGGAATCTTCATCATAAAGAAAGTTGGCTGTTTGTTGTCAAAAGGAAGTTTGTCTGCAGTTGTGGCTGAAGGGTTTTCCTCAGGAGTAGACTTCTGCTCTTTGGACATTTTCATACTGTTCATCCAGCTGAATGCAAAAAAAAGGGACTAAGAAAAAGACGGAGGGTGATCAGGGAGGAAAGTTATAGTTGTCAGTTTTTCCTTCTCCCTGCCCCGTCAGTGCCACACGAGGGGAGACTATAAGTGAAGCAGTGGTTCTGGGGTAGATTGGGGTGGGTGCTTTGCTACATCGGGTGAACAACCAGGCTCGTCATTGCTGGAGAGAAAAACATATACAAAAGTCTATGATTCTAATTAGTCAGGTTGGTTCATTGTAACATCCAGCAAGTCTGGTCTGTGTTGTTCAGTCATAGCTTTGGAGTTTGTTAGTACTGGAGGGGGGRTTAGACTGCATTTGTGAGTTCAGACAGCGGGGTCAGATAGTGAGTTGGATGACTACCTCTGAAGCTGCTCCCCCCTGAGGCGGGGCAGGCAGGGGAAGGAGAGCCTTGGGGCCTGAGGACGGGAGCAAAAGCACTCTTCTGTTTAGCAGCAGAAGGGAAAGAGGAGAAAGGTAAGAGAGACGATGAAGAGCTGGAGCTTCCTGGTATGGTGGGGCTGGAGGGCATTACTGTGAAACAGAACAGCAACAATCAGCTTAAACAGGCTTAAAAGAAATCTAACAAATCAAATTTATCATAAGAGCATCTTACTGTAGGGTGAGCTTGTGGGGGAGGCACTGCTGAAACCTGGAGACCCAGGAACTCCAAGACTAGCCATGGGAACTGTTCCGTAGCCTCCGGTCATTCCAGCGGCGCCACCATAACTCGACTGCTGGGGRGTGGAAGCTGATGGGTAGCCTCTTGGAGACAAACTGCTGGAGTTACGGATGTAACCTGAAGGGAACATTGACGTTTTGGTTAAGTTCCGAGTCTTATTAATGACAAAAACAAAAGAAAGCGATAGCTTCCTGCTCACCTTGGCTGCTCTGTCCTGGCTCTCCGATGCTAACACCTAACTGYGAAGGATAGGAGCCCAGACCCATGACGCTGCCGTGAGCCGGTGAGCTGGGCAGCGCCTGCAGCTGACTGTGAGGGCGGGGGACGCTATAGAGGGCCTCAGCGATGTCAGCGGCACGCTTTAGCAGCATGTCCTACAGAAAATCAAATTAAACGGAAAAACAAAATGGTCAGTCTCGTAGCTGCAGATAAGCTGACAGGATGCTAATRCTGTTGTTGCCAATGAACACTAATTAATCTGTAAAACTTGAAAACAAGTGAGCCACAGCCTATTCATCCATTTGATACATATACAGGTCTCCTGAGAATCGTTTCACTCATCCCGGTGTATTCAGGTGTTCTTATATCATCTGTGAACTAGTGCCAAAGTGTTAGCTGCTGCCACAAACAAAAATGTGATGCAACATTTCCAACTTGTTAYATATAATGAGCTTTGTTCCTGACAACAGAGTCACATGGAACCACTAATGGCAGGTATTTACAAAACAAAGCCAACTCACTCTATAGAAAATAATCTGCAAAATGTTCATCAGTAATGTAACTTTGAAGTAAAACAGCAAACAAATCTCTAAACATTTCTAATATCTTTATGTTCTGTTTTAAATTTTGGGGAAATGTGTTTTTAATTACCTGATTACTGTGTGGATTCCCATACAGAGCCTCCACCAGATCTGCTGCTCTTTTTAGGAGAATCTCCTACAAAGAAATTAATTAGGGTTAAATTCACTATTCCTTGAAAACAGAGCAAAACAATTTTCTTTTTTGAAGAGCCTCACCTTGGCTAGTTTCTCTGGGTCACCGGGATGTCGGGGAATTACCTTCTGAAGACGCTGAAAACCGTAGTCTATAGTCGGCTCATTAAGTGCTACAAAATAATAGCATGTACAATTTTAGCGAAAATTCATGCAGACRTTATATCTGCAATGCCTCTGATTGTTGAAACTATTGACAGGAAGAGAGCAGAGCTGCAGTTAACTACCTGTGTAGATGAAGCGTCCGGGYGCTCCCTTGCAGAACTGCTTTGATTTGTAAGACAGAGTGACCTCCACGACCCCGGGGATGTGTCGAGGAGGTGTCTGCACACGGATAGCGTGGGGAGTGATCAGCTGAGAACGAAGYWCAGAAACTGTGTTACAAATAAGCCATTTAAATATTTAGGCTAAGACAACACCATGGAAAGATTAAATAGTTAGGACTGCCCATAAATCATCCAAATAATGAGACAAGCCATATGCTGTGCATTTCATTTCATAATATGTACCATCATTAGCGAGATGTTTTGAAGACAACTCCTACCTCACTCCAGACTAGCATGCTTCCAAACACCACCTGCAGCCCGTCAAAAAAGTTCTCCCCGATGACTATGACCATGGCCCCACCGGTGGTCCAACCTTCACTGGGACTGATGGCTTTGATGCACGGGGTAGCTAATAAAAGAATGATATGCATAATTTACTCAATGCAGGATCAGTATAATTTTAAAAAGAGGATAGAGCATGCATACATGTGTGAAGAAACTATTTCAAAAATGCTCTTCAATAAAGTTTTCATTCAGAATTGTTGAAAAGGGAATTTTAAAGCTGAAATACAGGCTTTTTTGCCACTTCAGGTGGTCCTCTTTGGGGGGGTGTGTGAGCAGCCCTTCCGGCCCGGGTGTCTCTGGGGCTGCACGCTTTGGGTCCCTCTCGGGGTCTTTGGCRCTGGTCTCCCTTATGTCGGCTTTCGGCTTTGCGGGTCGGGTCTGTGGTCCCCCACAGTCACTTTGAAACATTCCATTGGAGAGAKCCATRCATGCTCACAACCGCACACAAACAGGTGTTTACATCCTGGGTCTTCTATTCGGACACTGACTGAATGGTATGTGCATATGTGTATGTATAGATATATGTGTGTGTGTATATATATACACTGTATATATATATATATATATATATGAAAGTGTATGGATATGTAGGTATGGGTATGTTTATGTGTATATGCATAAATTTATATATGTATATGGGTATGGTTTTCAGCAAGGCTATAGTCATTATAATTATATAGATATGCATTTTTGTTGCTGTGGTTTTGTTATCTTTGTTTTTGTAGGTGTGGAGCCAAGATGTCGGGTGTGCTGTCTTGTGTTTTCTCAACATATATTTCACATATCTTCTAATCTCTCTTTCACTCTTTCTCATTACATTTCACTTTTTTCTTTCTCCTTTTTCTCCTATTAAAAAAAGCCACTGATGATGAAGAAGCTAAGATACTAATATTCAGAAATTCAGTTCTGCTCTCTACTGAAGTGGCTGAAATACAGTCTTAAATGTGTTGACTTTAGGTTCATTCTATGTAAGATTTCTTGAGAAAAGTTGTTTGGAAAAAAAAACTTTAAAACAGTGCAAACGCATTGAACAAAAAATAAAACTCCTGTAAAACCCTGTAGTTTATTCGTTGTAAGTGACGCACAGATAACATTTGGGAAAATGTGTAAAAGCACAAACATGAMCAGTTGTAACTCAAATGTACTTAAGCACCAAAGAACAGGAAATTCTTGAATATTTAACAGCACCRAACCACCAGCTGTTATCATCATTTCTTGTTTTAGGAGCCAACTGGATCATACGATCCATAACCATAAACTCACTTSACAAAATTGTATAAGTTTGACATTTTTTTAGTGATCAGATGAACCCCTRATGCTCTAAATGCAGCTGATTTAGATGAGTGGCTGAAAAGCTTAAGTGTTTTTGATAAAGGAGGAAAATGTGAAACTACCACAGCATGTATCGTCATCACAATATCCAACATGATCACAATTGATGCAATAAAACAAATCATCTGGTAAAAGAGGTGTTGTATTTCAGCAGGACTGTAGTACCGTATTCCATGGTATTCTCCACAGACTCGCCTGGCTCCAGCCTGCGAGCTCTCCGGCCRTGTTTGGAGTTGTTGTGGACAAACATGTTGTCGGACACGGCTAAGACRTGTCCGTCTACGCTCACCGTGCTGGACAGGACCACCTGAGCGAGAGAACGAGAAGAAGAAGAGACGTGAGGAAAACGTAGCGTACTTCAGGCTGTGAGTCAAAATCTTGGGTTATAACAATCAAATCCCTGAGCAACAATTTGTTTTATGGGTTCAGGTGATGGTCATTTTTCTTAATAGGTAATGTGACATGTCTGGGATTTCCACGGTATGTCTGCATTCTGGGAGGTGACACCACTCYCACAGCCCTCCACTCCTCCAGCAGGTCTCCATATGGCCTCTTGCCTAACTTTTTGATTCATACAGCATGCAGCGGGCTCGTCGTTGTCTCCTCCTAATCCCTCAATGACAACAAACATATGGACTAAATCTCCCATTTGAGCTGGCCGTTAAAGTAGTGGATGATATATGGCAACAATAATTTGATTTTCTGGCTGCAGCATGTGTGTGTGCCGCTGCTCACATCTGCCTCTCGTGGATGACACCCATGAATCAGGAGAGGTTATTAGTGAGGGTTTTTTTTTTGTTAGAATATTTGTTTCTAAAAGCAATAAGAAGCTTTTCTTATGTGTGCACTATTTGGAATTTGAATGATGTAGAGCAGTAAGTAAATGTTCYATACCGTGGTAAAAACAAGACAAAAACTTTTCAGGTGAAGGAGAAAAGAGAAAAGAAAGAGGAGCGATCACATATGTTCTATAGGTGGTGGGGAAAAAAGGTGGAAGCCAAAGGAAAATAACTGTAAATTATCGATCAAGCAGAGAACTCCTGCCCAGCTCTGATCACCTTTTAACCCAAGGATGAGAGTCTTTGAGCGCCCGTGTGCTCATAATTTCTCAGCATGTGTCACACCACAGGAGTTAAACCAAACATGGAGGGAGACAGGGAAGGAGCGGGGGGGGGGTCACCAAGCCGGTGAGGGGACAGACAGGGTTTGCTGGGCGAAGGAGAATGCCAGACAGAGGCCGCTGGTGCTGAAAGACGGCAGAGGAAGTGAGCTCKGAGTGTCCCCTGTGACCACTTCCTGGGTCACGGAGCACGACCTTCTCCATCTGGAGCCAATCACTCAATCCTTGACAACTTCCTGAAACACCTCAACCTATTTCCTGCACCCCCACAACCGTCTCCCACATATCTAACTCTGTTTTTTTTTTTTTTCGTTTGTCTTTCCATCGCTCTAGCTCCTTATTGATTTCTAACTTTCCCCTTTAACTCCTTCCTCCAAGCACGTCTTTGGTTTCCAAAGCTTCACCATGAGGAAGTTTGTACTTTAAACACAGGATTGAAACAGAATGGATGTGTTTTAATGAAACAAATGAATATGAAGATGCCTGCTTTGACATTTTTCTACATGCTGAATTGTTCTGTACCTGGAATCTCCTCATATCCCTTGGGTTTCCTGCCGTCTTCAGACAATTCTGGTTACATTTCAGAAAGAACTTCAAGAAAAACCTGCAAAGGTAAACAAAGGGACATGTATTTTTTACATCAGCAGCTGAGAAACTGCATGAAAGACTCCTGTATGTTGTTAACTACACCCTGAAACACTCTAGCCGTCAAAAGGAAACATTCTTTTTCACCGACAGTTCCTGTGTGAGTGTGCGTGCATGATCACAGCTCTGACATCAGTCCCAGCTGTTTAGTTAAAAGTCACTGTTATCCCACTTTAAATCAAGTAATGAGATTTTGAAGCACAGTCCAGAGGAAAAGAGCTGCTGKGCTTTGAGAGTGAAACAGAGACGGTGATGTATGCCTCAGACTCAGGGGACTGTGGTATCCCACAATGCCACATTTGAACCCCCACATGGGAATGGAGAGGGAAACAAAGTAGAGACAACCACAGAGAAAATTAAAATGAGGAGGTGGCAGGACGAAGACAGTGAAAGGAGGCACGCGCAGGTGCTCATACGGACATGAATTTTGTTTTTATGGTTGTCTCATTTCATATGTAGCTTTACGTTTGGAGCAGCAGGAGGAGAGAGGGGTGCCGATCGCCTGTGCTACAACAGAGAGAACCTGAGAGGAAGATGGAATAAATAGGAGAGGGGGAGAGACTATACGGAGAGAGACTCCAAATCCCAGGTGGACGCTGTTCGGCAACACAGCCAGCTGCCATGGCAACGCAGCTCTGCCGCAATCCCAAAGTCCCCACGCTGAGAGGCTAAGACAGAGATGGGAAGGAGAAGCCAGCAACGAGAGCACATTCCTTCACAGAAACACAGCAAAGAAGAGGAGCGAGACGAGGCGAACTTAGACGAGAGAAGCAGGCAGGTGAGGTTGAGGCTGAAGAGGTCCATTCGTATCTTAAGGTTTTTAGAATCAAATGAAATAAAGGTGAAGCCAGAGAAGAGGCAGAGTTGTGATGTAATTACAGCAAACATGATTCTGCCTTGTTTGGTCCATAAAAAACTTAACCAAGGTCCAAAACGGATCCGTCATCTTAACAAGTGCTTGAGTTAGTTGTTTTTAAAMGTAATGGTTGAATAATCACACTGTTTTTACAAAGATCATTACATCTTGGAAATTTATTACTACTAAAACAAAAGTTTTATGCACTGAAATAATGCTAAAACTCTTTAGGATCAAAATGAAAGTGAACATCTGGGTTTGTTTTACTTTGTTGAGAGTCGCTGGGTGCTGATGAACTTAAGTTTTACTCTGATTACAGCTGTAAATCTGTAACCTTACACCTCAACATAGCTTGTTTTTTAATATGTCTTCATCTTTCAACACTACATTTCAAAAATGTGTACAACTTTGTGTGTATAGTCCTGTTGTACAAGATTATAAAATTGCATATTTCTCTGACATCTTTAGTAACTGCTTATTTGTAAGATGACATTTTATGCACAGTTTGTGCGAGATATTTTTAGGATTCAACAAGCTCTTAAAATAAAACCAGTCTTAAAGAGGTCCAGTCTTTATTGCCTCAAATAGCGTTAAAAACATGGACCTTTCCCCACCTAACTCAAAGAATTAATCCACAAAACACAACTCGCTGCTCCGCTCCACCCACTCAAACCTTCTCCATAGACCCAGAGCCAACTGAGGACCATGGGGGATAGGGCCTTCCACGTCCACGTCCACGCCTTCCCTGACGCTCTGAGGGCACCACAACCCAAAAGGCCTTAAGACTTTTCTTTTTAGCAGCGTTTTGGTTCACTTTTTTGGATTTTTTTCTCATTTTAATCT